GAATTCTGGGAGTTGAAGTCCAGACATCTTCAAGTTATCAAGGTTGAGAAACACTGGCTTAAGGGTTGCAACAAGCACTAAATCACATGACTGGGCAAGCACTCTAAAAACAGACAGGGCTGGCCCAATCTGGGAGTGATTTTAGGAGTTTCAGGAACTGAAATGGGAGCCTTAAGCATCTGCAATGCTTTAAATGCCTGTTCACTCCTTGCTGAGCCTCCCAATGGGAAAAGGATGCATGTCTTTAGCTTTCTCATTCTGGGAGACACAAACAACATGGCTGCATGTAGTAGGTGGCCCCAGGTGGTATTTTTGTACCTCTGGTTTTTTTTTTAAAAAAAACCTTTCTAATCTACCATTGCAGTAGTAAAAGTATACCTAATTATGTTCCTCTTTTGAACAACTAAGGACGGTATCTTTAATTACAACCCAAGTAAGGAGTTAGGTATTACATAGTTCTTCGTTGGATCCCAAGACAAAAAAGTTTGTTCGCCTACTAACATAGACACTAAAACTGAAATGCTGCACATCTCTACTGCACAGTATCTAGAAAATCTTTTTTTTAAAAACACATATTAATTTTTATCTTACCAATTTTTCATCCTGTAAGAAGTTGAAGAAGAACCCATAGAGTGCATTAACCTTTTCTTTATGATCAATCAAATCATACATTGCAATTAACCATTTTAAGAAGAGAACCTAATGGGAAGAAAACATAAATTGATCAGTTGATATGAATGTGGATCATAGTGTAAGTAATTAGTGTTCAACACAGAGAGATATAAAAGAACTGCAGATGTCAACAGGACACACCATACTAGTCAAAATATTATTAAGATCCAAGATATCATGACATGCTTGCCAACTTACTTGAGTATTGCGAGAACATTTGCCAACACAAAGCCATGAAACAGCTGAAACAATTGAATCCTCTGTTATTGTTGAAATGGGAATCAGGTTCTTCAACAGTCGAGTGTTTATCACTTCAGCTGGAATAGATTAATTTTTTATAAGGCTTAAGTATTGAAACATCCAAGTAAAATATGAAAACACATTTTACAAAGAGAAAGATAATATGTCTTTTTTTTTCTCTTTTCTTACCAAACTTGCCACTGAGTGCTATATTCAGCAAGGCATCAATTTCTTCTGGCGTCAAACCTCTTTCTTGGGCAATCTTTTCCACACTTAATAAGTGTTTCTGCAAAGCTTCATTTTTCAGAGAAGTACGATCTTTAACTAGAAAGAAAAAAATCAAAGCATGAGATGAAAGTAGGTGTAATCCTCGTGAGCAGCAAGCATCTCATAGGAGAATCTGCCCACTTTGCTTATTTCACCATCACCACCAAAGTTTATTCGTTTCATTCAATTTTGAGGCCACTCAAGTGTTTATTGACTTTGGGCACTTTACAAAAGAAAAGTAACACACACAGAAAATTGACCGGAATTTTAACTCGATAGCAGTTAAAAAAAAACCACCAAAATATTTCCTACAAAATGAACCTCCATTGGAAAATTAACTTTTATCACTTGTAAAATAGTGTTAAACTATGCTATGACAAATATGATCAATAAAGAACATCTCACAATGATTTCAACTATTGACCTTTTTTGCAAGACTTTATTGAGTGAACATTAAAATTATATCCATTCTAATTAAAAGTATAAATACTTATGTTATACTAAGGCTTTTTTAAAAAATTATTTGCATTCTTATATGCGCTGTCAAATAAAGTATTTGGAAACAGCCACATAGGCATAAATATATTGCTAATCTAACCCAAGATTAGATATTTTCTCATTTTTACTGCATTTGAATAAAGCATCCTATTTAACATTAATTAAAACAGATGACTATTACACTAAGACGTACACAGTATAATTGTGTTCTGTTGAAAACAATGCTCTGCTTAAAGGCAGTAATGACACATACATTATCAAATTTATAGTTGCCTTTTTTGATCCAGGTGACACCTAGCTGATCCTATTTAGACGCTTGGGTTTTCTTTGTTTTAGGGCATTAAATGCTTAGCCTTGCTTTTATCCTTACTTTTTGTCAAAAAGACCAGTGCTTCTTCAAGAGGATCCTGGGTGCAGTCTGTCTCTTCATTGGAAGGTGTTTCATGGTCTTTATGTTCCTGTGTACTTTTGCTGCCATTTGCTATCCATGTGGATATACCAGTTTGTTTACTTGAACTAATTGGTATATTCTTCTGCTTTTTAGCAGCTGCTACTCTCTTCATCCTTTTCAATTCCAAACATAGAAATGCCACCAGGGCCTATTATTTTCATTTGCCAGAAATAATGCTGTGTCCAATCATGTTAAACTGTGGCATCCACATTGAAAGAACTACCTGGAAAAGAAAGAAAGCCATCTGAAATGGATTATAAACTCACAACAATGCTATGATGAAATCAAACTATGGGAATACATTCCTGAGCAAACTGAAAAAACAAACAAACCAAACTGGAGATAAAAATGTTTTCTTTTTCTTAGAGGCAGTCAGGAACAATGTTTACATGTATATTAATACTATTATTATAAAATAAAGTGTCAATATTTATAAACAATTCTGTTCTAGTATCAGCCTTAGTACTATAGCTTCCTACAATGATCCTTATTCCTAGGAGGGGCATTATGGTAACTCCAAGTCCCAATATATCATCTATTTCAGGGGTGTTAAACTGGCGGCCTGCGGGCTGGATGTATCATGCACAGGTCACGGCCACCTCAAAGGAAAAAATAATCATGAAACGTCACATGACAGCAATATGATGCCGCGAGTTTGACACCGTGATCTATTTTGTACAATTTATAAACAACTACACTTTTCAAAGGCTCTGAGGAATTAACAGTATTATAATAAAAGGATTTAAAAACAATGCTCACTTAACACAAATGCATCTAAACCACCAAATTGGAGCATACTATATAAGATTCATTTTTCTTGCCATGTACATCTATACATTCGAACTAGATTGTTATTTCTCTGTATTATATATGTGAGTATATGCATAATAGTTTATTTATTTTGTCATGTTTTTGTAGTGTATATTGGAGGTGCTGATTTCTCTGTATTATATATGTGAGTATATGCATAATTGTTTATTTATTTTGTCATGTTTTTATAGTGTATATTGGAGGTGCTGATCCTTTGAGAGCTGTATGCAACAAAATTTCATTTTAATGTGTGCTGATTAGTGTACAAAGTGACAATAAAGTTTCTCAGTTAAGTTATACATACATTTCCCCTACTCCAGTCTTTCCCATGTGTCGGGGTACAAAATTCTTTCACTTCTTCCTGATTAGCAAGTTGCCTAGCAACTCAGGCCCCTGAGTCTGTGTAGACTAGAGCTAAAGACCTATCTCCTGAATTTGGAAGAGAAAAACACTTTTAAGTTTTGCAAAAGCAGCTTTTTTTGTCTATCTGAAAATACAAATCACCAAATCATACAGGCAAAGCAAGAAACTTTGCAGAGTATTTTTATAGGTACAGACACAAACAATCCATATATTCAATAAACGACAACATTAACAACTACAAGTCCATTGCCAAACACAGCTAAATACACCCAAAGGTAGATTTTATTAGCCAGAAGGTGGGCAACTATTATTATCAGGGAAATATGGTAAAAAATTATCCCACCAAGGACTTTTAAAATTTCCTGTTGCTAATGCTGATTCCCAGCTCCTTCTATCCAGATTTTGGTTTAGTTTTTATTGTCATTGCACCTTGTACAATGCCGTCTTCAGTGTATATCATACATAAGAAAACTATAAAAAAAATAAAACAAAAACACACATCCTTCACATTCTATACAATTGAATTGAAAACTCCTGATATTGCATTAATATTGCACTATACTGTAGAATTCAATATAGTTACTGCTCT